TTTTTTTTTTCCTTCCACCGTGCCAAGCTTGCTCCTGTGATGGACTACAATCGCAATAGAAACTAGTAGTCCATCACTGGAGCCTTTTTTTTTAAATCCGATTAACCGATTAATCGAACTTAATAATCGGCCAACTAATCGATTATGAAAATAATCGTTAGCTGCAGCCCTAAACAGGAGGTGATCTAAATCACAGCCTGTTCATTCATAACTGGGGACACATAGTAAATATCAATGATACTCACCGATCCTCCGCTTGGCCACGCACACAGCCGCTATGATCCTGAAACTGACAGGAGGACAGCGGCTGCGCTCTCCTCCCCGCCTGCCTCGATCACGATGATCGAGCGGCAGGCGGGGAGGAGAGCAGAGCCGCTATCCTCCTGTCAGTTTCAGGACGGCAGCGGCTCCCCCTTGGATCCACCACTGACCTGCACACCCGACCCGCTGGACTGACCGGAAGTGATGTCACCAACGTGACGTCACTTCCGCCCTCAGTCGAGCAGCGCCGCTGATGGGGCCCCAGCTTGTCTTGAAGCCATCCTCCATCCCCGGCTGCTGCGGGGGCCAGGCCGCCTCCTCGCACTTCACCGTCGGCCGATACTCATGTATGGGTCCCGGGCGGGCCCAGGCCCCTTACATGAGTATCGGCCGCACCCCCCTGACGGCGGCCCTGGGTTACTGTGTCAAATCCAGGTATACTATATCCACAGCCACTCACTTATCTACGTTATTGCTTACTTCCTAACAAAAAGTAGTTTTCACAACATTGGCCTTTTGTGAATACATGCTATGGCTTATAATACTGGTTTCCAACAAAAACCTATGCATATGGTTCTTTACCAAGTAAATACAGACCTGTAAGCATAACTTCTATAGCAGGAAAATACTTGAGCGTTTGATAAAGACTTTGTTCCCTTTTAAAAAAATTCTCCAACATGCTCCTTTCACACTTGTTGTCACTGCAGTTAAACTTGATCATTGATTTGACCTCATCCACAATTAGAAAGTCGAATGGCTGTTCAGAAATCGATTTAGTTCATACGAAATTCTAACCGTGTCTACTTTACTTAATTCTAGATGTATTGCAGTAACCAGGAGAAACTATAATATAGTGTGCTAGCGATGAGACAACATAGGCACACTGGTAAACGTTACATAAAGTAACATGCACATGCTGATAAGCTCTGCTCCATAGAAAATCCAAAAATCAACCTCAGCCATATTTGACATAAAGGTTGCAGGCCTGTTCCTCAGAATACACTGGTAAAGGTGTGTGATTCATTGATCAAACTAAGCAAACAGACAACAAAGACATTTCTTTCTGAGCTGCTGTCACTTCTCTGATGAAGACATCACTAAAAGTCTGTAATCCAAGCCACAACTCTTCAGAGTACAATCATTAGTACAACATGTGGTCCCTATCTATAAAACTATGTGGACGGGACCACATGGCAGAATTCTCCAGCAGCATCTTGTTTAAAACTGTGGCAGGTGTTTTTTTTTCTTTGTGCTCCTCAATAAGCAGATTATGCTTTATAAATGTTATACCATTACTGCCAATGAGACCTTTTCCATGACTCTCCTGACCACCATATTCAAATCAGATATTTATATCCTCAGTAAATGCTTGTGTCTAAATGCTGTACTGGATTCTGAAATCATTTACCTGCAAGCACTGCTGTCTTGTGATCTATGATGTGTGAAGATGTTACTGAGCCCATGAGATCAAGAGGCCCATCCACAGCTGCTGTGTCCACATTATACTCTGCGCAGAATAAAGCAATGCCATTAATTACTGACATGCCTTTTTTTACTCCTATTACCTGCAGTCTGAGCACTTAAAATACTTTAATGTATTGAAAAGGGTTGCAATTTATCCAACTTTGTTTGGCTGTTTCTATGAGATATACAAGGGGTCTTTGCTTATCTTTTGCATTGGTGTCTTGTGTCTTTACCTTACACCTCTGCTTCTGGGAAGCACTACTGCCATCTGGTGCTTTTGTACTGACCTGTAAAACTTGCATGTCTGCCCGCAAGACCACCTTATAGTTCTATGTCTCCAAGCTGTGCAACCTTATGATTCCTGTATGTGAGCAATACTGTATTCGTTTAACTGTGTGTCTGCAGGTAGTATTACTTTCTGAGATATGTTTGCCTGCAAACAGCACAGGCATCTGACACTGATGTCTCAGCCTACAGTACTGCACCGAGTGAACAGTATTGTCTTCTCTAACTCATCTGTCTGCAAATAGAACTACCTTCTGATGTAGTAGGTTTGTCTATAAGTAACAATGCGCCTTATTACTTGCCATTCGTGCACTGATCCAAAAGTCTATCAATGCATTTCCTTATTTGATTACGCAATTCTCTCTAGCATGCTCTAGAATTGCATGTACAATGCACATCTTGGGGGAGGTAATGGTACAATTAGCACTGCTAAAAGGTAGGGGCATTTTTATGATGAAATCTAGGACCTAAAATGCAAAAAGAGTAAATCGGTATGGACAAGACCAGAGACCGAAAAGCATTAATGCATCAGGCCCAAAGGGTCCTTGACTGGACAGTAAATAACTACAGCTCCTATGATGCAAAGCATGCGAGGGAGCAGGGTGTCAGCTGTGTGCTGACCTGTAACATCCTTGTCACTTCACACACACTCTGACAGACTATGTGCATTTGCCAGTGGGTGAAAGAGTGAGGGGTTAACAGATGCCGTTTGCTCTCTCGAAGAGGTCACAGCCTCCATCTGCACAGGATGTTTGCTTAAGGAAATCAGAGATTCCCGGCTGTATTCTGCCATGCTCACAGATCACAATCTGCAACACTAAGTCGTGGTGTTTACTGCATATTACTATGGAAAGGAAAGGGTTAAAAGCAGGTGTCTGTAGAATAGACAAACCACACCAGAATATCATGTATAATATGAAAGGATAAGTGCACATTAAAACAAAGTGCACTTACCTGTTTGCCCCTTTGCATGGACCCAAAGTAACCCACCCTACCCCTTCCACAGATGTATACTTTCCTGTATCCGACAGCTGTGGAACTTATCCTTTGAGAATCGGAATGTATCTCCCCTATTTGCTGCACCTAATTATTTAAGGACAAGCTGGAGTATACTTGATTTTATTTAAAGTTATCCTGTGAGGAGAGAAGTATAAGAACTGTCATTAACTTATTTTTAAGGGCGTAGGCCCCAGGGCTGTCATCCTGACACTAGCCAACTTACCACATGGGCCAATGATCCATTAAAAGCATGCAGCCATGTGATGTGTGAAGAATACAAACTCTCACACCACATGCATTTCAAAGGTTAGTAACTCACCAGATAGTAATGCCGAAATTAGGATCATAGCCTTGGAGCTTGCACCTTTAACCATAATTCAGACACAGCATAAAGGTGCCCATACACTGCTCGATTCTCGTACGAGAATCGCGGGGAAAACCCGCGATCGTACGAGAATCGAGCAGTGTGAACGAAGACGTGCGACCGTTTCTACTGTACGGTTGCACGTCTTTTGTCTAAGGAGCACGCTAGAAAACCAGCCGAGAATCGTACGATTTTCGGCTGGTTTGAACGGTGCTCGGGAGACAAATGCAGAACGGGCCGGTGTGCCCACGTGCACACTGCCCGCTCAGCATTGCGGTCATCGGAAGCCCGCACCCCTCAGGGGGGCGGGCTTGCGATGATCGAGAGTACGATCTGCCTGTCCAAGATGGGCAGATCGTACGTTTTTTTTATTACTTTACAACCATCGCAAGACTAAGGTCTTGCGATGGTTGTACAGTGTATGGCAGCCTTAACCCATCTTTCCGTCGTACATGTTCCCTTTATAGCTAAACTGAACTTAAAAAGTGAAGATTTGCTAAGATATATAGAAAAGTTATAAATGTTGATTGTGCTTAAGCAGTACCCTGAAAAATGTTTGGAATTCCTCCTGAAAAATAACGCTTCCTGATATGTGCCACATAATTGTATATCTACTGTATGAGATCTAAGGAAAGGCTGCACCTGACTGCTAGTCTTAGGAGATTTGGTGACGTCATTACTGTGCTGCTCACTGTTGCTCTTGCTGTGGACTTTGACATGAGGAAGCAAAGCACTACCTTTCCCAAGATGGCCGCCTCCCCACACAGACGCAGTGCAGAGCAAAACACAAGTCAGTAATGGGTGAAAGACTGGCTGCAGGGGCACCGCAGGTAGTACTGGTAACTAGTCCTTTGCCCTCCACCTGCTTTTTTTGGGTTTTGGGCACAGCTTCTAGAGTACAATTTCTCCGTAGGACCTGGTAGCAAGAAGCGAGCAATAACAACAGAAACTTAACAGAGTGATTTGTACTTGTAAAACACCTTTTGTTCTGGGATTATGAACCAGAAGCTCACACTCTTTCTATATCTATGTGACAAAAGAAGATAAAGCATCCAAACTTTCAATATTTCCAGAATGTGTGGGTTAGGTGATGCAGAAACAACACTTCATAATTGTGAGCACAATGTCTCACCAAGAACTTCCTGCGCTGCTTCCAGTGGCTGCCCTGTGCATTGGTGCTTCGGTGAGCTTCTGTCACTATGCGGATCAGCTCCCATTCCTCGCTGCTTGGCTCAGGACGCTGCTGCAGAGTCTTGATCATCTCCTCCTTCCGACGCCGTTCCCGATTCTCCTCAATCAGCTTCCGCTTGGCTACCCGCTTGGAATCATCCAGGACAACTGCGGGGGAAGGAGAGAGAAGTGTGAGAGTAGTGAAGAGAGGGAAACAAGACTGACAGTCTCCAAGCAAGGATACAAACTGTTGCGCAAACTGGATGATTCCAACAGAAATCACAATAATGTGGAGACATCAGTACAAACTGCTGATAGGTGCAGGAGGAAAAAGTGATTGAAGCTTTCTTACTCGTTTCATTCGGTGGCAAGTTCTTAATTATGCTCTGTCCAGTAGAAGTATATTTTGAATGGAAAAAACCTTCCAAGGGTTCTGTCAATCATAATGTAGAAGTGGTAGATCATGTTCAGGCAACTTTAGAATGTTGGTCATGTGCCATGTGGAACATTGTAGGCAAGAAAGCTCTAGTTTCCAAGGTATTTGCTAAGTTTAACACTGCATCTAAGTGCAGCTATGGGAAAGAGACTTCAATTACTTCGGGTGTAGACAGGTGCCCAGATAATGATCGATGTGTACCTATGCAGCATCCTACTGTGGATGGAGGAGAGCAATGTACTGGCTTGTGGTCAGCTAGGCAAGGAGGGGGCTGCTATGTGGTAGGTTGCATTTACTTAGACTTGAAAAGCGCCTTTACCTTTAGAAAAAGCTTACTCTTCAATAACTTTAAAGTACAGACTCCTTCAAAACGGTAAAATCTGCTCTGAATAAAGCAGGGAAGGGTCAGACCCCCTTTGCCAAGTTGTTATCAATGCCTGTGACTCCACTGGGTAGATATCCTCTCATTTGTCATACGTATGTATTTATATATTGCAATTGCCAAATATGACTCTTTTCAGCTTTTTCACTAAAAAAAAAAAGGCTGGAAGTCTGAGCCTTATGTATCCTACATTAAAGCCTATTTAAACTACTGCTTGCCACATGCAAATGTTAGTAAGAAAGACTGCAAGCTTACCTGTCTGTATAAAGGCTACATTTATGGCTTCCTCCAGTGGCCCACCAAGTAGCCAATGGTTAAGCACTAATCAGACGATCTCTGCTTGGAGGACTGGCATCCAGTCAGAGCGAGCCAATCAGCAGCTTTGTCTGAACTGTGATCCTCCCCTTGAGCAGAGATTATGTTGCTGGCCACCAGAGGGAGCCCCAATTCTGGATTAACAACAGCAGGTACAACATATTCTAAATTTCCGATTTAAAATCGTGTACAAAAAGCACATTGAAATGAGAAATAAGAGAGCGTTGGCTTGCAGTTTAGGATGATCGGTGATTACAGTAAGGTGAAGGTGGCTTGGCTAGGAAGGATGACTGATGTACAAAAGGGGATCTTCCAAAATGAACTTTAAGACTCTCATAACTGGGAAGTGACATTTTTTTTTAAAAGAATGAAACAGGATTTTAGCATCAAACTGGTAGATGAACAACTATAAAAATAGAAAAAACAAAGCTTTACCTACATGGCTGAGAAATGTATCTCAACTGTCTGTGATTGGGGAGGTTGTATGACTGATATACAGCTTGCCACTAGAGTACACTGCTGTAATTATAAAAACATAGTACACCAAGCAAGAAGAACATTCCACCAATTTGTTTCTTTGAGGGATTCATTACAATAATTCAGGATGTGGTCACTCTAAAAATGCACTTTAGTATCACTTTATGCAATGATCGTTAGTAAAAATGCCTCTTATTATTCAAAGATGGATGCTGGAGCTGAAGAAGCAATGTGATGTTGTAGATAGTGTTAAGCTTACCATACATGTTACAATGTGACTGTACAATCTCCTACTTGGCTGTAGCCCAATGGAAACGCGCAAACAAAACGGCCCAAAGTAGTACCTGTACCTTTTCAGGCGTGGGCCGTTTTGTAGGGCGTTAGGGACGGGCGGAAATACGCCAAGGTGGGAACGAGACCATTGAATACAATGGGATTTATATTTTTGAGCGTTTTGTAGAGCGTTCGTCGAGCGTAGAACGCGCTACAAAACGTTCAGGTGTGAACGAGGGCTTAGATCATCTAGTCAGACAGACCCTCGCACTACATTTTACAGTCAGACTGCAACATGTTTGATGAGCTTTAGACATTTGTTACTTTCTTCAGTCATTTTTTTTAACCTTTGGGTGAATATAGCCAATAATGTGATCAAATGTTTCAAAAACATGTCAGGTTTTTTATTTTCTTTTTTTGCTGCCTATGGCCCCTTGGGGAGACTTCCCCTTAGTTCCTAATCAGGAGACCCAGGGAGTCCAAAGTGACAGAAATCCCCTCTTAGACAGTTTTCACTGGACCAAGTGTCCCCAATTAACCCTTCCCTACTCAAACAAAAAAAAAACCCCTGTGCTTTTAAATACACTTTAAGTTCAGGATGCTGAGTAGCCAGATATTTTATTCTTACATACAGTATCCTGCGATTTGACACCTGAACTGAATTTCAGGACTATCGATTAACGTGATAAAAGCGGTCATATGATTTTCTACTTCATAGGAGAGTGGATAATGATGGGGGTAGGAGAGTCAGTCACAAACTATACATGCACTAGTTACCAGCAGACAATGCTATTCTCTCTGGAATCTGGATGATGGCTGTCACTAAAAACTTACGGTCCATTGCCATGCCCACAGCGATACATTTCTTAAAGCGGCAAAGCTGACACTGATTCCGGGTGATCTTGTCAATGATACAACAACCATCGTACTTGCAGGAGTAGGAGGGGTGCAGGTTCTTCTGGATAGTTCTTCGAAAGAAGCCCTGTACAGAAGAGAAGACAGGTGAGCTATTTCAACATGGCACATATGCATGACAATAACTTTGCTTGGTATCCCTCCTTGTGGTAGGCCATCCCCCAACTTCCCTTCTAATTAACCAGAGTAGTCCCCCATCCTGTCCTTCAGTTTCCACATTTCCTGGACAGAAATCTTTACGTTTTCCTGCATCCTCACCTGCTGTAGAAAGCCGGCATTGTGACACAGCTATACAGTACAATTAATCTATTTGGCAACAACTGTATTTCACTGGCTGGACGCCAACCTGCTAATACAGTAACAGTGGGATGATTATCATCTAGTTGAAAAGGGCCTGTAGGGACCTCCCTTTGGTATTACATGAAGGACGCCGGCCACAAAAAAGGCTACACATCACACTTCTTATTTTCCCAGACAGCGTTACTATTTTAGTTGTTTATGTGTCTTCTAAATCTCTTCCCTCCCATTCCTGCTGGCATTTCCTGCCTAATACTAATGTCATGTGCATCCATATAAAAAGGAAGATTGAATTTATCAGCAGGAAAAAGCATGTAGCTCTCTAACTCTCTAGCTGGCGAGATGGAACCCCTTGGTTGAAGGACTGAGCCAACAAAAAACAGCTTCAGCTCTAAAAAAAAGACTTCTTTTTGATACCTTTTACAAGTCACAGTAAACGTAGTTCTATCTAGATTCAGCAACTTCTCCTGATAAGCTGTCCCTAGACACTGCTGCTGTTCATTAGGGCTGCAACAACTAATCGACATAATCGATTATTGAAAAAGTTGTCAACTTTTTCAATAATCGATTAATCGGCTTCTGATCAGTTGGCTCTGTTCACAGCTCCACACGCTGTGCGCCGCACATCCTCCCGACCCCACGCTCGCCGCTGCCAGACCCGCTCGCATCCACGCTCCACACGCCGCACCTCCTCCCCGCCTCACATTTCCTGCCCATCCACGATCGGCAAGGCACGCGGGGAGATGTAGTAAGGAGGAGCAGGGGTGGGGGGATGACAGCCGCTGATAGACAGGTCCGATCTCAGAAGCAAGTTGCTGGAAGACTGCTCAGGTAAGCCTGCACTTTCCCACACATGGTGCTCTATAATGTATTGCTGGGATTTGTATTTCTCTATAGCTGATGGTACATTGTACTGTACATTATACATAGGAATACAAATACCAGCAATGCATTATACACTGTATGTATAATGTATTGCTGGGATTTGTTGTACTCCTCTATAGCTGGTGATATTCTGCATTGCGCTGTATAGAGGACTACAAGTCCCAGCAATAATACATTATACAGCGCAATGCGGAATACCACCAGCTATAGAGGAGCACAACAAATCCCAGCAATAATACATTATACAGTGGTGCAATGCCGAACACCACTAGCAATAGAGGACTACAAAACCCAGCAATAGTACATTATACAGCGCAATGCAGAATACCACCAGCTATAGAGGACTACAACAAATCCCAGCAATAGTACATTATAAAGTGGTACAATGCTAAATACCACCAGCTATAGAGGACTACAAAACCCAGCAATAGTACATTATACAGCGCAATGCAGAATGCCGCCAGCTATAATGTGCTTTTGCTGGGTTTTGTAGTCCTCTATAGCCGGTGCCATTCTGCATTCATTGCTGTATAATTTTACACTTTCCATTTCACTATATTGCACACCACACTATCTTTTTTTTCTTTTTTACTTCCACCGCTCCAAGCTTGCTAGTAGTCCTATCACTGGAGCCATTTTTTAAACTTTATTTTATTGTTTATCCGATTAACCGATTAATCGAACTTAATAATCGGCTAACTAATCGATTTTGAAAATAATCGTTAGCTGCAGCTCTACTGTTCATCCTTTAATATCCATCTTCAGGATGCAGTTGTCAAGAGTTCCACTTTAGTCATTAGCTGACTCTGTGTCAGTGACAGCAGAGACAGTCATTTATAAAAAATTAGTTGTTGAGGTATGACATAAATCTGCCAGAAACAACTAAATACAGAAGTAGTTCACATTTGGCTAAGGAAACACTTTGATTTCAAAATATGAATACACCTTGCTGCAGACCTAAACTAAGTGTGGTATCCGTATTAAAAGAGTCTATATACCCAATTAAAATATTTCATTTTCAGCTCTCATTGGCTGCAATTGCTGAAAACATAAGTTCTGCCAAATTATGTTCAATATCAATGATATAAAAGTGTGACCTGTCTTACCTGACAAAAATGTTAAATGTTCTTCTGCCAGAAAAAGAGGTGATGGCGGAGGGGGCGGGTACAGCTGGCTCTGCCTCTAGATAGGCAGAGTCAGCTGTCACTCACGCAGCTGGGCGGATCCAGACATAATTGTCGGGATCTGCTTCAGCTGCGGCGTCTCAGTATACCGAGAGCTGCAGCTCGCGGTATACTGAGCCTAGGGTGACGGGGGGACGCTAGTTTGTGTCCTCCAGTTACCCTACGGAGAACTATGGGGAAATGCCCTAACCCCATAGTTCTCCTTTCAGCAATTTTTTTCAATGATTACACCTACGTTAAAGTATCATCCTGCTTGGCAGCTTGTCACTTTAACTGTCATACAGCAATAAATATAAGAGCGCGCTAATGTGTGGTGACTGACCAGTCTGATCCAATCCAGCAGAGGAGTACAGTAAACTAAAGATATACGAATAGTCTCTGGTTTTATTAGGGAAAGTAATAAATACAACATGAAGAAACAAACATTATAAGACTGGGGTAGAAGGACAAGTTAGCAGTTATCTGGGGATACAGCAGGTCAGCTGAGATACATACAGTAGATATGGAACTTGCAACTACCATAAAACAGTTCATAAACTTTGTATCACCACCTGTGGCTGTACACGCACAGTATGCTGCAAAGAGCTTACTGCAAAATTTGGGGCTATATCCGTAGTAGGTATAGAGGCACTCACGGGTATTACAGCGGAGGTAAGTCAAAGCATCAGCATTTTATTGTCAACATTTCAATGGAGATCAGTCTGTCTCTATGAAGACTTGATAGAGTTTATCTTCATAGAGACAGACTGAGCGACGTCAGAACGTTGACAATAAAATGCTGATGCTTGGACTTCTCTCCGCTGCAAGACCTGTGAGTGTCGCTATACCTACTATGAATTTGTATGGGTATCTTTGTGGATGAACGGTCAGGCTTTTACCTTACAAATACATATACACATGTGCAATTTTTTGTTTTAGGTGAGTGAACCTTTCATATAAAATTTATATATACTGTTCAGTTACACTTCATACCTGGATGGTTTCATGTGAGCACCACTGGCTATAATGAAGTGTCTGCAAACATACAGAATAGGATATATGCTGGGGACAGGAGGGGAAGGCATAGGAAGTAAATGCTCTCTGTTGTCATTTGACAAAAGGCATCCCCAACACCCCTCTATTTGTGCATGCTCCTCGCTCATCCCTTGCAGCCAATAATGAGTTAGCCAAGGAGGCATGCATTGATAAACAGTTAGCAGGTATGTCTTCTGTGGTAGAATGGAGTGTGGAGAGTGTTGTATCTGCATACAGCAGAATAGAACATAAATCAGCAAAAAAAATCATCAGACCTAAGTACAGCTCTCAAAAGGACAAGAGAAAGTGATGACATGAGAGGCTTTGGTGCTTCAAAACTGCACACATTCTATTGACATGATTAACATATTTGCTAAACACTGAAGGTAAGAAGTGATGACGCCCCTTTAGAATATGGCTTACCTTGCAGCCCTCACAGGTAATACATCGGTAGTGGTACCCTGTGGCCTTATCACTGCACACCACGCACGGCTCATCTTTGTCCAGGTAGCTAGGGATGTACCCTGCAGAGAGCAGAGACACCGAACGGTCACCTATGTCAACGGGTGAAAAGAGGGGACATAATCTTAATCATGCCATTTATATAGAAACAGGCTGTGGGGACAGGGACAAGGTACCACAGCTCACATCAAATTCCACCATCAACCAGACATTGTTACATTGATCACTGACCAGAAGCCAGATCTTTCAGCTGATCAGAAGCCAGATAGTGATTGCTGAAAGATGAAGCTGCCGGATCACAGGGCACCCAAATCTACAACAACTTCTGTTCCCAAATTATTTTTCTTTCAACATATGTACAGTGGAAGAACCACATCTTTTCTTTGGGTTAAACCATCAAATATGATTTCCAGCCTATATTTGGATGTTTTCAAACAATGGAAAAGTGTCCAAATAACAACTTTCATATGAATTGATAACCAAATGATGATGTAAAAAGCAGGGATCTATTATTGTTATCTACAGCCCTGGAATCATATTTGGTCTGATATGTTCCAAGTAAACACATGACCACCTACTCTCAGGAGCACAAGATGTTTAAGAATCATAAAAAACACACCAACTTTGACTTAATTACTGGTCTGGCCCCCTTATTCCTAGGAATTTGTAGCTCCTTTCCCTAAGCTCAACAATGAATGACATTTCAATGGTCCCTGTTCACACCTGAGCGTGTCACTTGTTGCCAGTTGCGTGAAGCTCAAAAAAGTACATGAGCATCTTTCGGGGTAGAATTGTGCATTTTGGCTTCAAAGACTAATTGGAGCACCTGAAAAATGGGGCCGATAACACTATTCCGCTTCTGTTCCACAACCCGTGCATAAAAATGATTGAAAAATGCACATAGCAACATGCAAAAAAAAAAGTCACCATATGACCTGGCTATACTTACGCTTAGGTGTGAATGGTGTTCACACAGAACTATCATAAAGACTTAATTTATATAATAAATAATTATTCTTGTTAGTAGCTGTCCAGAACTCATAGGAAGCAGGGAAGAGAGCTCTGCGTATAGTCATGATCCAGGATGTGTAGGGATCAATCAGCCTGCTCACCAATAACTTGGGCACATTCATATAGCTGGACATGGGCAGAAAGGAGGGGGGCTCTTTACTGGTGAACAATAACACCACAAATCCTACATGCTGTAGTGTTATTATCATTCGGACATAAAGAGGTTAAAGACGGGACTGGAGAGATCCTTCAGGTAAACTATGTGAATTTAGAATAGGGAGCTTGAGACTGTCACTATGCAGTGAGAAAGAAGTAGCTGCAGCCGGTTTATGTAGGCAGTGTTTACTGGTGTATGTGGGTAACTTTTTAATAAATGGTTTTCATTCATTAGCGTTGTCCACTAAGGGCTATTTGTTCATTTTATACATGAATACCGGAGCACAATAAGGAGGACAAAAGTAGAATTCATTTAGGAAGTTGCCAGCTATCTGTTGTATATAATGCTGTTGACAAGTAGCAGATGGTGCAAAGTTAAATCGAGTGTTTAGTCATTTGAAGGCACTACCCCCTGCAATCAAAAGGGGATTTGCGCTCACTGACCTTAATATTAGGGTCTATTTGCCAGAGTGGCACTCTTAAGTTGGTGAAGGTGCTATATGGACTAGAAGTAACGGCAAGTGTGGAAGAGTGGTGGCAATCACTGTGTGAGCAGCACTGAAGAACTTGTGGACACTATTCAAGATTGTTTGTGGACACAATTGTAGTTTGAAGTTATGTGTTTTTGATATGTTTGAATATCTGATCATGTTTGTATACAGTGCGGCACATATTCATTAGTGGTTGTTATTTAGTACTATAGTGATTTAGTGTTCGCAGCTTTACTATTGGCTCAATGTTATTACTGCTTGGTGCAAAGATTTGCCAACATGTTGGACGCCATCTACAGCCAAAGCTGCTGTGTTCAGGTTCATTCAAATGATTTGGAGCAATGTAGGTCCTTTAACCCTTTCACTGCCAAGCCCTCCAGAACATTTTGCAACTCAGCTAGCCATGCCATTTTTGCATGTGATAAAATGATACAGGCGTATATTTAATTGCAACACAAAGTATCACAACGCATGACAATGCGTCACAAAGCTTTGCCACAGTTAAATTAATGTTTTTTTTAAAAGAAAAAAAATAAAGAAAAAAATCATGCACTGTGATGCGTTCTAACAACGCACTGCAGCGCATGTGCATGGTGTGCACCACAATATGTGTATGTTATGTGGGGGGAGGGAGGGGTTGTGCTTTTTTTTATTAGTTTTTTTTTTTTACACATTTATTTATTTTAAATTTTATTTTGTAATAATTTTTTTAATTTGTTATTTTTTTAAATAATTTTGTATGTATTTTTTTACTGTTGGGGGGGCTGCGGTGAAATCTCTGGGGTCTAAGCAGACCCTGACATTTCCCTTTTGAAATAAAAAAATAAATTGTGGACACCAAATCCTCAATTTCTTTTTCTGCAGTCTCAGCACTCAATGAATGGGAAGCACTCAGTACAGAGGCTTCCTATTCATTCAGAAACTGCTGATAGTAAAATATTTACTATCACCAGGTTCGGAATGGGGAGAAGCCTCCATAGTGAGTGCTACTCCCCATTCAGAAATTCACGAATGAACAGGCTGTGATGTACTATGGGGGTTACTCACAAAGCTGTCGAAGGATCTAGCCATAGCTTCGGCTGATCCTTCGGCTAGCTTCGGCCCCAGGACACCTTCAGCTCAGTCGAGCCGAAGGCATATGCTTCGGCTAGACTGAGCCGAGGTGAAAGCCGAAGCTGGAACGGCCGGCCGACAACCTGCTACTGACAGCTTGGCGGAGCCAGCCGTCATCTCACAGTTGGCTCTGGCCACTTGCATGCAGAAACAGATCAGCGTCCCCTGGTTACCAGCTAACCAGGGACGCTAATCTGTCATTACACTGAGAACCCGGCAGAGCCGCTGTGATATCAAGGCGGCTCCGCCGGGTTCTCAGTGTGTAATGACAGTTCAGCATCTCCTGGTTACTTAGTAACCAGGGGACACTGGACTGTCATGAGAGCTTGTTGGAGCCGGCTTTGATATCACCGCCGGTTCCGACAAGCTCTTATTGTAATGACAGCTGGTCCCGTCCAATAGAAAACAGTTGGGCGGAGCTAGCTGTCACTGCTAGCTCTGCCCAATCATTTTCTCCTTTTTTTCTCCTTTTTCTATTCTGCTCGGTACCACAGAGGTATTGAGCAGAATAGCTGAGCCGAATGGCGCTCGGGGACATTCGGCTATTCACTTCACTGCTGTTTGGCTCCTATGAGAATAGGCCGAACAGCAACGAGTAGCCTGACGGAGGTTCGGCTAAGCCGATCCAGATGTTGGACCAGCTGAGTCAAACTCCTTCTGATTTCAGTCGGTGTTACGGATGAAACAGCTGTACAAGCCTGAAGTGAATAGCCGAACAGCGTTCGGCTCACTTGACTTTGGGCCGGTATTCACCCGGCTGCCTTCTGCAGCTTTGTGAATAACCCCCTATGTGTCCCCAGTTATTTACAAACACTGGAGTGATCACACGATCACGCCGGTGTTTGTGCTGCACAGAGGATCGGTAAATATCAATGATATTTATCGATCCTCCGATTGGCCATGTGTCCCAAGTTTATTTACAAACACCGAAGTGATCACATAATCACTCCGGTGTCTGCTCTGCACAGAGGGATCGTTAAATATCATTGATATTTAACGATCCCCCGCTCGGCCACGCTACAGAGCCGCTGTCATCCGGAAACTCACAGGATGACAGCGGCTCCGATCAGAACACCGCTCGGCCATTGTGGATTGCGGCCAGCCGCCGATCGCCCCTCCGCCGGCCAATTTTCATCGGATCCCCGCTGCCACAGACCCTACAAGTGGGGGACAGCAGCGGGGATCCATGGAGTCTCTCATCCCTGCATGGAGCAGCTTCAGGCAGGGATGAGAGACTCCAGATGTCGGCGGCCTATTTGCTAATAGCGGTCATCAGCGGCTTGTGAGTCACTGATGACAGCTATTAATTTGAAGGGGACAGTCCGGGGAACAGTTCTAGTATAAGCTCATGGTCACTAAAGCGACCATGAGCTTATAGCAGAACTGTAAATACCAGGTCCGTATGTCATACGTCCTTGGCCAGCCGTGAACACTTTTGTTCCTCCGTACGACATACGTCCTTGGCAGGGAAAGGGTTAATATACTTTATTGATGCTATTCGATAAACAATAAGCCATAAACAGATCAGAACACATCTTACAATATGACTTCTTGATGTCTTTAAAAAAAAGTTACACATAAGAAGATCACACAAAGTTCTTAGAGGTATTGTGTGAATTAATTATCTGATCTTCTGATATTAACAGTTTCCTCCACAGTGAACTTAAAGTGTACGTCACGTCAAAAACTTTTTGTAGTTTGTAGATAGCATGAGACAGGATACAAACCACTGTCAGGTCTTTATTGCTGTCTGGGGCCCCGTTTAGAGAAGTTTACACTCACTTCATGTCCTCCTGAAAATTGTTACAGCAGACAGGACGTGAGGGAAAATCTTCAACAGGGACATGGATATCTAATATTTCCCTACTCTACTAAAGAAAAGCATGATTGTGTTGCTGTTGGAGAGTTACCCTCACTTCCTGTCTAGTAAAACCTTGTCAGCAGGACAGGAGTGAGGGGAAGTCTCTCTATCGGAGACTTGGTAATGCTTTGATCATGGCGTTTCACATTACACTCTGTCAGAGACAGGCACACCTATGGCAAATTTCAGAGAAAATCTTTTCTCCATACAGGGCATGAGATCTGCCCATTGGGCACACAGCAATAAAAACCTCACATGGTTACTAATCTCCTTTACTTTAAAAATTATTTATTAATGTCAGTGGCCCTCTTGGAGATATCGTACACACTTCCTGATCACACTGGAAACAGAAGGGAAACAGATATAAAAAGCTGACAGAGGTTCTAAGCCTTCCCCACGCTGCCCAAAACTAAAAGAAATAACTGTTGTGTTTCAAACTTAAATTGACAAACTCTGTGGGACTTCTGATCCAGTGATAGAAGTCATTGGAAAGCTTTAGCTGTCTACTAGTTGACTTGACTTGTTGCTCTTCAAGTTGTACTGGCCAAAAAACGAGGAAGTCCAAGGCCAGTGAAACGTGCAAACATACTAATAGGGCAAACACACAAAGTGTTAAAAACTGTAAAGAATAAATATTAGACAACAAACATATAAAAGACACAATGAGACCCTCACTCACTGAGAAACAGACCAGACACACAGGGTAACACAGAATACACGCAGCCAGGCCAATAAACACCAGAACAACGCATGCAGCGAGCACAAAAAGCCTGTTCATTGTGTTGTAAGTAATTACTGAGAGTCTCTCCCTTCTGAGCATCTCTCTCTCTCTCTCTCTCTGCATTTCCGAAGTAATTATGTTTTATAACTCTGAGATCCTGTCTGGACAGAGCAGAGATGGCAGAGGGGTGAGAGGGGGGCCTGCAGCATGGGGTGAGATGGCCAGCTAATTCTATAGAGGGTAAGAGTGTGGGAGGGAGGCCTGGCCATGGGGTTACAGTGTGTATTATGGTAATACAACCACTGAGGAAGCAGAGAACACTCCCGCTACAGTTTGGACCATCAACATAAGTCACTGGAAAAGGGACCCATAAAGTCACACCTTACTCATGTGATATCAAAGGAAGCATATAAAGGTATGTAGAGATTCCAGATAGATCAGCAGACTAAGAAGTCTTGCATTTTGATGGCTGACTTGTAGCTGTTGTGTCTGGAATATTACATTATAGAATTACTGTGTTCATCTGGTTTATTAAGGTCATGAGCAGTGTGTAAAGAGCAGTAACCCAGAACAAGCAATCACAGCCAACCTAATGACACAACCAGTGGTCTATCCCATCACTATCCACTCAAATCATGACGTTCTGCTCTGTCATATCTACAGGCAAAAAACCCCTGACAAAGGCTCTAACCCTTTCCTGCTCTAATCAAAACTAAATAAATGTTTTGGTTGGAGTTGGGCTCTACAGGTATAACATTTCAAAAGCACAACATAGATGATATCTGGTTAGTGAGAGGTAACATACTAGTTAGAAAAAAAACACACAAAAATGATGACTGTGATCTCTAGCAGCTGCCCAAGTCATACACTGGCCATACGTTGTGTGTTTTTTTCTTGTTTAGCTCAGCAGGCTATATATTTACATAGTATTTCAGTCCATCGAGTTCAACCTGCATGGCTGATGGAGAAAAAAAAAATGCTTGATTCCCCATCCATACTGCACAGTGTGGATGTAAGAACACTGCTCCCCTTTCCACACTGGGCTATTGTATTCTGACAGCAGTGGATATGCCATGATCACAATACCCAAACAGTGACTGCGGTCACTGTAAATATGAAAATTTTCAAGGCTGCTCCTTCGACAAAAGTTGATTACAAATTGACTTTTGTCAAACAAAGGGGTGCACACTTCCTAAAAATGGTCACATACTGGTCAAACAGCGCATGGCCAGCTTTGGGATGTAGGTCCCTGAACAGCCACTGTTTATTGTATACTTGCCCACCACCATGAGGGAGAAATACAGAAAACAGAAAGTGTGCTTTACTAGGCTGACAGCATAGAAACCTGGTCCCTGTAGGAATCACGATCTCTAGTTTTCATCTATCCAGAGGTCCAAAAGGAACTGGATACATTTTAAAGTGGAAAACCAGAGTGGCCTTATAGTATGTAAATTTTTGGTAAAGTATGAGGCGTTATACTGTGGTTTTCTTGGTAACGTAGGAGGAGTTATATTGTGGTTGTCTTCGTAACATAGGAGGAGTTACACTGTGGTCGTCTTGGTAACGTAGGAGGAGAAATACTGTGGTTGTCTTGGTAATGAAGGAGGAGTTATACTGTATTTGTCATGGTAATCTAGGAGGAGTTATACTATGGTTGTCCTCCAAAAGCGGGAGGAGTTCTATGGAATTTTTATTGGTAGAGTAGGAGAGGTAATATGGTATGCTTATTGCTAGAATAAAAGCAATTACAGGATGTATTCATTTTCCAAATATAACAAATTATAGTCTATACTTTTAGCACAGGAGTAGGTAAGTATAGTATACATGTGGAGAGGTCAATTCACTATTAGGAGTAAGGTGAAGATTTAAAAGGGTTGGTCTTCTCTTCTGTTTTATGGTTAATGTTAAATATTAAAGAGCAACTGAGCTCTGGAAGCTGTGCCTGAAAAAGATATGCAAAGGACTAGTCATCAGTATTTCCTGTGGTCTCCTTGCAGCTGATCCTTCCCCCAATACTAACTTACCATGTCTTGTTCTGCACTGTCTCTCTATGTGGAGGTAGCCATCTTGGTAGAGGCAGGGCTTTGCTTCCTTATACCAAAGCCTCCAGCAAGAATAACAGTGGGCAGCACAGTAGGGACTTTACCAAATCACTTTACTAAATCTTTGAAGGCCAGCAGTCAGATCTCACACAACAGATATTCAGCTATAAGGCTGTGAGGACATTCTTCCCACTGACCACAAATGTAAGGAACATTCCCACTGATCATAAATGTTAGGAGCCTTCTTCCCACGGGCCACCAATGTAAGGAACATTCCCAATGATCACAAATGTTAGGAGCATTTTTCCCACTGACCACCGATGTAAGGGACATTCTTCCTACTGACCACCAATTTTCGTACCATTTTTCCAACTGACCACTAGTATAATAAAGCCCTGCTCCCAATGATCCCTAATGCAAGTCTAGCCTGACTACCAAACTAAGGGAGCTCGTCGGTTGGTATAGGGCGTATTACTGGTAGGAAGGAGTAACAAGGTGTATTAAATGGTGGGAAGGAGGAGTTACAGGAGTGCATTTACTGGTAGGAAGGAGTAACAAGGTGTATTAAATGGCGGGAAGGAGGAGTTACAGCAGCGAATTGCTGGTAGGAAGGAGTAACAAGGTGTATTAAATGGTGGGAAGGAGGAGTTACAGAAAGTGTACATATCCAAGAAGACAAACATGACATGTAGATTAGTTAGGAAAGGTTACATTAGGTTACATGATGTGAATAGAGACACAGCATACCATGCTACACAGAACATACCTGACATACCGCTTTTTCCCATACATTGGCTATTCTTTCTTTTTCGCTTCCCATCCGGCCACCTGTTGAGACAAAGAGAGAACATGAAACAATCAAGATACATCAAGTAACGAGAAGTCACAGAAATATAAAAAAAAAACTGCTAGCCCGCCCTGTGCTTTGTACCCACGCATTTAGAATCCGAGACAGCTGCCTTGTAATCCTGTATGTCACATTAATATGCAAGTATTAAGCACCTCACCAAACTGGACACCACCTCACACACCCACGCTTGGAAGCACTCACCGCCTTGTACTGAAATGCACTTTTCTGTGTCACTCATTGTCCAAAATGTCTATTTCAGGTTAAAGCAAAGATGAAAGTGCGCAGTGTAGTAACCCAGAACAACCAATCAGCAATGATCGCTCATCACATATTCTAACGTATAGGAACCCTTGGTTCCTATACGTTACAGTCATTATTACATCTCTTTTGCATCTAACACAAACTCAGGCAAAAACTCAAGCTAATCTCCAATGAGGTATATGTCCTGTGCAGTGCTGCAGGCGTTATACTGAGATGTATATTGTCTATACGTCACTTTCTGCTAAAGCCCTGTCCACATCTGCATGTAACTAAAGCTGGCCGCACAGATTAGGATTTTCCTCGTTCAGCCCTGCGGGCTGAACAAGAGAAAACTTTTGGTTCCCTCATCCACACTGAGGCTCCGTTCACACCTAATTGTCAGCTTTTCAAGGCTTTTTCAGGTATTGTTTTTAAAGCGTTTTTGAGTGTTTAACAATGTTTGAGTGTAAAGCATGTGAAAAAATGTTGCTGTCCTTCTTTTGTACCTTACTGTTATTTGCAGAGGACTGGGATTTCAGAATAAAGAAATGGGAATTGCTAGTGGAATGGGCTCTGCAACTAATGCTAGCAAGGCTAAATCCCTGTGTATTGGGCAGAGCCCAATCGCAAACTCTAACCTGTATGAGAAAGAAAGTGAAACCTGTGAGCCGCGGTACCACTACCCTTTATGGTAGCTGGCAGCATCTGACCCTGTTGTATGCTCTATACATGCAATGTCCTATGACAATGTGCAAAGTTTAGCATTCAGTAGCCAAAACAATGAGGAATTGGTTGCTATGGTTACTGCACTCCCGCTCCTCATCTTAATAAATGGCCTTCCTTCTGTTCTACAGAATCCTTATTACATAATGGTGACCCTCCTACACTTTTCATGTATTCTGTATAGCAGTAAAAGGAAAGGGGGCAATGTATGACATGTGTCAGCAAGAGAAGGATGAATCAGTGCGACAATGTCGCCATTATTCCAGTCATACCTAGTGAACAAAAGAAAATCATGAACATTTTCTTAAAGTGTCTCATTGCAGTCTACTCCTTCATGTATGAAATGTTACCTTTCCGTTCAGTTTTACACAGAACCCTTACAGTGGGCACCTTTTTCTGGTGTAATGTTGGTTCCTTAGTTGGCAGGATCCTATGGAGCCACACTTTTGTGCCAGTGACAGGGCTACACGATGACTTAAAAACTCTGCCTGCAGTGACATGCAGAGGAGGCCCGCGAGAACAGAACCTCTCCTCCAAGTGAAGTCCGTTGTCATTCACTTCTTTTGGAGGAAGAGCAAATGTGTGCACTCTTTGTGGCATCTTCCTGGGTCGCTGTGCAATGATAGCATCCTCACGTCTGACTAAGAAATGTGGGTTATGCAGTGACATGGTGACTGGGTAGGATGTTGTGACCCGGGAAGTTTGGAGAAGCAGCGCAGAGTGGGCTGAAAGTGGCAGTTCTAAATGCTAAGGATTACAAGTGTTTCTTGCCTTTTGCTGAAGGAAAAATTATTGTTCTCTGTTCTAAGGCCCCATAGAAGTCGGCTAGGAGAAGGAGATGTCTGCTGCAGGCCGGGCCCTTAGAAACTCAGGAAATATTCATCTCTGTACGGGGAGGGAGGGAGTAGCTTAAAGGGACCGAAGCGATAACTGCACTTTAAAGTGTGCTTATCATTTAAGCTTTCTCTGTGTATAAAAGGTGCACTTATCTTTTTCTTATTTCTTTTTACTGCTACATTACTGATAGGTAGTTTAGCAGTAACTAGCAAGAAACTTTAATAACCTTTTTATTCTAAGGACCTGAAGAAGACATGTGGCCACGATTTAAGATTAAACGAAAATCGTTTTAATTCAAAACGGAGAAAGGGTGTTTTTTTTTGAAAATGTGAAAATGTGGAATGATCCTCCCCGGGAAGTGCTAATACATTCAGAAAACGTTTAGGTATCTTCCTCAGATTCTTAAATTCCATAGGAGCATGTTCTGATCGCCAGTATGGGGTCAAGAGGGATTTTTTTTTCTCCCTCTTACAGAAAATTATCCTAAAGCTTGATGAATATGGACAGAGGAGTATCCCAAGGTTTAAAGAAACCAGCATCTATCGGGCTATCTCAGGTATAACGTAAAGATGACTTCCAGGAATTTTATTTTTATTTACCAACCTTTTGCAGTGGGGCTTGGGATACTCCTTTGTTCACTGGGGAGCTTACGGTGTTCCTCCCCCACCTTGTGTTCCAGCTCCTTCTGTTGCATCTTCATAATATCTCATAAATAACTATCCAACATTGAGATCAGGGACACCTTGTTATGTCCCCAAAGCAGGTGTACAGACCCAGGAACTCACCAATGGAATCCCTCAGAGGTATATTATGTTGTTATTTATTTCCTGTATTTAGCAACAGCATATTATGTGCTGTATTATAGAGTAATTTGAGCCATTCATATCAGACCCTATCTAGGGTAAAAAATATAAACAGGCCAAAAAAACAAAAATCAAACCTGAAAATAATCATCAGAGGTGTTCACTGCTAGCCACAGCCATAACGATCACTTCCAATATGCCGGTCATTTCATCTATTGTGTGTAGCTAAATATCACCCATCGTAATCTCGTGTGTTTGCAGAGTCTCAATGTTTCTCATTTCAATTTTCATCTGTTTGCATTCCTTAGTCAAAACTAAAATAAATGACCCCAAGATTATGGCTCACATGGTGCTAACCTTTTTTTTTTTCTTTGTCACACAGCCACAATTAAAATAGTGGTAGCCTGCAAAAGAGATCCCATTCAAAATGCCAACATTGACAGGGCTGCGTATAGTCTCCACCGGGAAGCACATGTGGCAGAGTGACAAAAAAGAAAATGTGAGACGGCGAAAGACATTGTCACCCTATAACAGGAAGTACCTGAACCTTTACTGCTGGATTCCCAAAAGGAAAACGTGACTCTTAAAATTACATTAACAAAACTTATATGAGATTTGCACATATAAGAATGGCACGCCAACGCACCTCCCGGCGGGCACGCATTGTGCTTGCTGCAACAAAATATAGCGAGTTGCAGTGATTGATATTGCACTGTTGCATGTTGTAGTTGGGGTGCCATTCAGAATAAATGACAATGCAACGCATCAGCTCACCTAGAGTGCAGTGTGCTGTGCGATACTGTGCATTTAGCACAACCCTGTGGCGTGCGTGGGCCCTTACAATTAAAAGAAAGTCCGGTCGCTGGAAAGCTTGCTACTTATTATCTTCCCACATAACCTGTGCTATTGTGGCACCAATATGTACGCGGCCTGTAACACTTAACTAACCTGCATTTATGGGAGCAACCGAGATCGGCATGAACAGACAGATTTTGCGGGTACAAGTATCTGGCACATTGCAGGTTTCTTGGTACCATTTATATATTTTCTGAGTGATGTTGTCTCATTGTGTTTGTCCAGTGATGCAGGTTCTGCACACTCCCCTGGATTATGTAATATGAAGGGGACAGATAAGATGCACCATACATTCCTCCTGTTTCATCCCACAGTAGGAGTTACAGGTTACACATTCTCTAGATCCTTTTTAACTGTCTGGGATCTGGGAGGGGGGGTTTCTTTTCTATACAATTATCTCGCTGGACTTCCTTTTCTTCCAGGAGAAAAAAGAAAAAAAGTACATATTTATAAAGTATTCCAGTTAAAAGGAACAGCACAAAAAATGATTTATTTTGATACCTATTTTCTGTGCCAGGTACAAACACTCTCCTTCCCTGTCTAGGACGCCTAGTGAGTGGGAGGGACTGAATATTTTACCAATGTATTCCTAGGTATATTTAGCTCAGGCCTGGAAAAGCTATATGTGAAATATGCATTGCTGAACAGCTACGGTTTAGAGCAGCAGTGAGCAGACTACTTGGTTCGGAAACAGAATGGTTGATGTCCTTTTGTTCTGGAATTAGTCTGGTGAAACCAAAGATATTAAAAGTGTATGTCAGGGCACAAATCAAAGAAAAACATATTTTGTAAATCTCTGCAATAAATACACATTTCTCCATGTTTTATCTCTTTCTAAACACTGCAAGAGCAGAAAAATAGATGTTGATCTGCCTGTGATCCAGTTTTTTCCTAACTTCCAGTACCTTAGCTGCTCTAAAAACCCAAACGGCGTAGCCCTGCCTGGTGGACTACTGAACTCTGCCTATCACTTCCCCACTCTATGTGCCTACATTATTTATTTCCAAGCAAAACAATCCTACTGCATTGACTTCCAATAAACTTTCTTCACACTGTGTTCAGGTAAGGGGCTCTTGGGAGATATAGTTCTTGGGGTGTGGTTAAGAACTGAACTCCTGGGGGGCGTGTCCTGGACATGGCGGCGTGAGGAGCACACTGAGAGAGCTCCGAGACACCCGCTCATGTTTTGCACTATTTCAAAGACTTTTAAACCAGTACGAACCCCACGATCAGCATGTCTAAAATGAGCGGCGTGGGTGAAACGACCAGTGTAATTCGCCGGGGTGCAGATCCAAATACTCCCGGACTTCTCCCGCAATACCCTCAGACGCAGAGCCCTACTTCGCCCGCTCCTCGATCAGATCCTACAGGCAGGAGCCACATACCGGTGGGGGTACCCATTCCAACTGATAGTCCGCAAGGGGGAGGCCTCCTACCTACTTCGATGCCCATCGGATGTTCCGGGCCTCAGTAACTTCCTGAACGTGGAGCTATCCCCGCCAGGTGACTGGCTCTCTTAC